CCACGTGTGTTCCTATGCAACAATTTTGCATGTTCTTCACATGTACCCCAAAACCTAAAATGCAATAAAATAAATAAATGGGTAAAAAAAAAAAAAAGGAGTTTGAAATGTCACACTAAGGACCATGGATCAGAATTGCGTCTGATCTTCAGGGGCTCATGTGAGATGCTAAGTAATTAGTTCAACCACTGTGTGTTGAAGCCCCACTACTGCTGGGGCTGGGCTGGGGCTGTAAAGCAGGGCTGCCCTGCTAGAGTGAGGTGGAGGGGAACAAGGAAATGGGTGTGATATTTACCATTGTGAACGAAAAATAAAATCTCACGACCCCAAACCCACTATGCCAAAAGGAAAAGTTAAGCTTGGAAACTGAGTGTCACACACACACAACTGCCTTTCGTTTAGCTCATAAATAGATATCTCACCAGGTGGCTCCCAGTACCCTGTGAATGTATATCAGCAGCTTATCTTCATGGGTGCCGGACAAGAGAAGACTAGATAGGAAATCATCCCTCTGCCCATGCCTAAAGGAATGCATGTTTCACTTCTGCCTCTCCTTTATGTTTATTTATCTTATGTAAAAGGCCGATTCACTGAGCACCAGATGAATACATAATTGACTGTTCTTCTAGCCCCTTCTTTTCATGTGCAAAAGAATGTAATCACCTGTCTCATTTATCTGCTCTCCCTTTTTGCTTTCTTTCCTCCCTTCCCTCCTGTCCCTTTAAATACTGAAGCATTCAAAACTCGCTTTGGAAAAAGTGCACAGATTTTACTATGGCTTGTGTCTCTTTTTTCCTGAGCATGTCCTTAACCTTGGCAAAATAAACCTCTAAATGGATTGAGACCTCTCTCACTCATCATAGAGGGAAGCACAGGGACACGCTGGACCCACAACGAAGGGGTCAAAAATAAACTCCTGGAAAAATAACACATTTTTAAAAAAGCTCTTCCCACATCCGTCCATTTATTAAATAGTAACTCTTTACTCACATGTAATGTGCCAGGCACCATATTTGCATCTGGAGAGAAAAAGATAAGGCATGGCCACTGCCCACGGACCTTAAAGTTTGGTTGACAAATCATGAATATACAGACTGTTAGAGATATGCTAGAAGCATGCCTGGGATGGGAGAGGACCCTGGAGTGAAAAGTTTTATGGTAGGAAAACACCAGATCCCCAGTGGGAATGCCCCCAGGCAACTCAAATTCACCAGCAACAGGGCTCAGGCAGTGAGAAGAGAGAAACAATTGGTTTTTGCCTCTTCTTCCAGTGTCACTGGGCAGCATGGCATCTTCACTATAAACCCCAGTCACCAAGAGAAGCAGGGGAGCTTATCCAAGCACACGCAACTGAAAGACCAGTTTTTCCAAAAAACAATTTGTCATCAAGTTATCAAATTTAACATGTTATTAAAAAAAGAAAAAGAACTTTGCTTGTCTTATTTATAAACGTATAGTGACTTGTCTCCAGTGGGACAGTTTAAGTAGTTTTGGGGGATTGCTACAGTTTTCATTGACAAGGTTTTATTTTGTCTTTGTAGCAGCATTTAAAGAAGCCTTTAAGTGTTTTCAAAATGTATTCAAAATTCAAAAATCATCCCATAACAAAAAAATCAGTGTTTGTTTCCTAGAAGAAATGTTTAGTTTATACTGATTTTGTTCATGTCTTTTTGGTTTTGCCAACACTTTAGTATATTTGGTATTATTCTCTGAATTTCTCAAATTGGGGCTTTATGTTCTAGGAATTTCCTTTAGCAACCTAACTTTTCTAATGATTTAATAATTCATATTTACTGGTGATGTGATTGATCCTGTAGCTTCCAGTTTATCACTTTACCAGTCTTTTCAGTATTTTTAGGATTTTTGAAGCCGTTAAAATAAAGCCTTTTATGACAGTTTTGGATTTACACTTGGTGAATATCAAACTTGAGGCACTGGTCATGAAAATCATTATAATACAATCTTCTGGGCACCCTAACTTTCTTTTTCCTCCCTTGGCTTGTTTTATCCCATTTTTTGTTCTTGTTAGAATTATTTATTTATTTATTTATTTAATTTTATTTTTTGAGACAGAGCCTTGCTCTGTTGCCCAGGCTGGAGTGCAGTGGCACAATCTCCGGTCACTGCAACCTCCGACTCCCAGGTTCAGGCGATTCTCCTGCCTCAGACTCCCAAGTATCTGGGACTACAGGTGCATACCACCACACAGCTAAATTTTGTATTTTTAGCAGAGATGGAGTTTCATCATGTTGGCCAGGATGGTCTCCATCTCTTGACCTTATGATCTGCCCTCCGTGGGCTCCCAAAGTGCTGGGATTACAGGCGTGAACTATTGCACCTGGCCTCTTGTTAGGAATTTTAAATGTCCATAATTTCTTACAGAATAGTTTGGGGATATAACTAATTTTTCAGGTGATTTTGAGTTTAAATTTTAAACCTTAAAAACAACCTCATTTGCTGTTGCTTGCCTAAAAGCAGCCAGTTAAAATTTCAGCGTTTTATCTAAGCTTTTACTATTAATGTGACTTTAATCTAATTTGATTTAATATAATTTAAAGTTTTAATTGCTGGAAGGTTAAAATTAGGGCTGATAAACTATTTAAGGAATTTGCAAAATAATATTAAGGATTGAAAAATAGGAAAGTGACATTTGAATCATTAAATAAAACAAGCTTTTGAATATTATTTAGTAAAAATTTAAAGTTAGATAAATTGGTCATTAAGAAACTGAAATGCAGTAAATTGATCTCAAATCATTCTGTATATTTTGAAGATGTAATTTTGTTCTTAACCTACTGTCAGTTCTTTCTCTTGCTCTTCTGCTAGTGATTAAAGGGGATATTGTTTTTAGAAATAATTCTGTAAAATAAATGCTTATGTTCTATTTAAAAAGCAACATAAGCACTTATGTGTTTTGTGGTAGACTTCCCAAATACAAATATATCTAAGTCCTAATCTCCGGAACCTATGAATATTGCCTTATACAGCAAATGCATCTTTATAGACGTGATTAAATTAAAGACCTTGAGATGGAGAGATTATTCTGGATTATCCCAGTGGATCCAATGTCATCACCAGGTCCTTTGAAGAGGGACTCAGAAGCGTCAGAGAAGAAGACATAATGATGGAAGCAGAGATTGGAGTGGTGCTCTTTGAAGACAAAGAAGGAGACCACAAGCCAAGGAATACAGGCTGCCACTAGAAGAAATTGGAAGAGTCAAAGTAGTGGATTGTGCTCTCGGGCCTCTAGAAGGAGCCACCAGCCTTGGTGATCCCTTGACAATGAAACAGACAGAGGGTTTGTGACTTCCAGAACTATGAGAGAATAAATTTGTGTAGTTTTAAGCCACTAAGTTTGTGGTAATTTGTCACAGCAGCAATAGAAAATGAATATAGGATGTTACTGATACGCCTTCTCATCTGGTTCTTCATCCTTTCCATGCACAGGGTTTTATAGCCAGGCCTACCAAGCATGTTGTTCTTCTCCGAGAAGACCAGAAAAGCTCTGCCCAGACATCTGAGACTGCAATTTCCAGCCATCTCTTTCCTGGCTACCATATATCCACCTGGAACCAATGGGATAAACAACTGTACAGAGACTTTTTGTTTTTGATTTTAGTGTTGTTCTAAGAAGTTACCAAAATACACCATGAAATTATCTCAATTAAGTTTACCCAAAAGCTACTATATACACTATTTTCAGCCTGTCTATTCCCATCTCCAGCCATGTTTGGCTACATTTTCCCATAAAGCTCATCAGCTAGAATGTGCATGAGATAATAGTGCTAAATGGCTCAAACAGAATATGGTCAGGGTTACAGAAAGCACCCAATTTGCCTGCATGCATACACACCTGCAAAATTCAGCTCCACAGATTTTTTTCCTCTTTTGTTACCACTCCAGCAATCCCGAGACAGGCAGAAGTTGTCTAGCCCTAAAGGAGTCATGAGATTAAATGACATCCCCAAGATCTTAACAAGAGTGAAGGGTAAGTCAAGGACTCACATTCCCGACTAGCTCCAGCTTTGGACCTGTTGACTTGGAGCAGGCACGAACACACACAGGTGGAGCAGGTCGTTTCAAGCAGTACTGTACTGCTACCAGAAGAAATTCAACACCCCCTGCTGGATCTAGCCTGAAGTGCCCTAGTTAGAACTTGATCCCCTTAGCTAAGGCTTGAATCCTTACAATGCAAATACCCTGAAGAGATGCTTCCCAGGGCATCCATGCTCCCTCCAATCCCAGCACCTATGCCTGTGGTCAGGAAGCCAGTTATTTCAGGACTCAGGTGAATGCTGCACCTGATCCTCCCCAGGCTCCTGGAAAAGTCCACAGTTCACAGTAATGACTGCCATCCTCTCAGTCAGTCAACAGCTGGCTCTTATCCAAGAACTGGCCACTGCACTGGAGATGAATTGACTGGGGATGCCTTAAAGCTTGAGATTTGGGAGGATATGTTGTGTTTGAATCCTGCCTAGAGGGACTTTCTAGATATAAGATACTGGAGAATCACAAGACCTGAGTCTCACTGGCGTCGAAAGGAGGGTGCCAAGACTTTTTATACCCAAAAAACCACCTTGGGAGTGGGGTTGAGGAGCAGGGATGGGGATGAAAAGGCTTCAGACATTCCGAGGGCTAGTGGATTCTGTAAATCATCTCCTGAGTGGAGACGAAGGCTCCGGATATTACATGGGCCAGGGGACTCTTGTCATTCCGTTTGTTACTTAAGTGGTTTACAGAAGTCAAGATAAACATTTGTTTACACATTTTCTGGGTAAGGTGGAAATCACAGACCTTTGTTACTTATTACAAGTCGCAGGAGCCAAGATGGCATGGGTTAGGACTGCTTGCCTGTCACATTAGGGCCACAGAGAGCAGTTACTGATAAGCAAAGTTTAAGCAGCTTTACATAGTGGGCATTTTTCAGAGCAAGCTAGCAGCTTGATTTACAGAAGCCAAACACAGCTTTATCTTATAAAATGGCATTGCTCAGGTTCTGGCTCTAGGTCAGCACAATATCACAAAACCACACCTTATTTAACACGAGGAACTAGATGGTGGAGAGAGCTTATTCCTGTGAAAAGGGTGTAATCCTACTAACCTTAGGGTAGGTCACAGGCAAATCCACATGTGCTCTGGGACATAAAATTATGCACTAGTATATATTGCACCAGATACCACAAAATCAAACCTGTAGAAATATAGTCATTGTGGGAAATCCTTTTTTTGGGAGTTCAAATTTTATTACACATTAGACTATATTAAGGTGATTGTCATTGTGAGAAAATCTTTCTTTTTAAGGATACTTGTGTATGGCTTACATAGGAGATGACTCCCAAGTAGCTGGGACTACAGGCATGCGCCACCACACCCAGCTAATTTTTTTTTTAGAACTGGCTTTCCCCCTTGTTGACTAGGCTCGTCTCAAACTCCTCAGCTCAAATGATCTTCTCACCTTGGTATCGCAAAGTGCTGGGATTACAGGTGCGAGCCACCGTGTGGCCAGGAGATAGATCTTATAATAAACAAAATATACAGATGTTAAAAGATACACTTAGGTACAATAAAATTTTAATGAGTTTATTTGAACATTTAGTGATTCATAAATCAGTCAGCACCAGACAAGAACCAGTTTGACATTCCACCTAGTGGGTGAGAGGGGAAACTTTTATGAGGTGTAGTGGAAAGTCCTAGTTAGAGATTAGTTGGTGGGTTTTCTGAGTTGTTAAACTTAAGTTTTCTTTTAGTTTTACATTAAATTTGGGCTTCAGTTTGCTTATGAAAGAACCTAAGTTACTGAGGCTATCTCAGACTAATTGTCTCCCAGTTAATTTATTTAACATAGGAAAGAGAGAGCAAGAAGGAGGAAAGAATAGGAAGGAAGGAAGGAAGAGAAAACCTTTGGGTGAATCAAGCTCAAAGGCTTTTTTTAGTCTGAAGATCCCACAAGCAAATTCTGACAAGGAAAAGCATCAGGATTAATGAGCATGGGAGCGTAGTGGGAGGAGGAAGAGGAGGAGGGATGCTGGGTCATCCCCCCTCACAATTAGGGGCCTCTAAAAAGAGAGGCAACTGCAGACCAGGCCAGCACTGAGCCAAGTACCAACTCTCTGCTGTGAGCCTTGCCAATGTGTGCCCCTGTGGCCACCACTCCCCACCCTCGCATACCCACACACTGGCATTGGGTGTTTCCCAGCAAAAGCCCAGCGGGCCCAGAAGTCAGCCATGGCAACACTGCCTTATTCTGACTAGACTTGAGGGCTGAAGCCAGCAAGTTTCAAGGGATGTGGGTTTCCTGAGGTTTGGCGAGGAACCCTGACAGTGTCTGTCTCTGTCACCTTGTTTGAAAAAAGAATTGTTCATCCCAGGCCACTGTCCAGCAAAACTGTATCAGTTTCCTCTCCTTCCATTTCCATCTACATGCTAGGGAGGGAGAGGCGTGCATTGTGAGCAGCCAGGGCTTGGATTTGGTCCTCCCTGCAGAGCCTGCTTCTTTCCTCTCCCTTTCCTTCTCCCAGAGTTCTCACCCACCTCCCACCCACCTCCTTAGGATCTGGTTCTCTAATAAAGCTAGTGGGATGTATAAGCCAGGTCTCACGGAGGGCTATTTTGGCAAGCATACACCTATGCTTAGCAGGAGCTTCCCACAAATCACTAAAATAGTCAGACCTCACCTGGGTTAGAATGCCAGGAGGGTCCAATCAGAACTCCTAGCTCCACTACATGTAAGAAGAGTTAGACGACTTTTCTCCAAGACTCTGTTGCCTCATTTGTTAAATGGGCACGACAATGCCTCCTTCCCAGGGTTTTATGAGAACCAGGCAAGATAGTGCCATTGTGCTTTAGTTCAGTGTGTGGCACAAAAGGAGGACACTTCAAAGCAATAGTGGGAGTCGGGTGCGGTGGCTCATGCCTGTAATCCCAGCACTTTGGGAGGCAGAGGCGGTCGAATCACCTAAGGTCAGGAGTTCAAGACCAGCCTGGCCAACATGGTGAAATCTATGTCTACTAAAAATACAAAAATTAACCAAGTGTGGTGGTGTGCACCTGCAGTTCCAGCTACTGGGGAGGCTGAGACGGGAAAATTGCTTGAACTGGGAGGCGGAGGTTGCAGTGAGCCGACATTGCACCACTGCACTCCAGCCTGGGTGACAGAGTAAGATTCTGTCAGAAA